GATGAGGATGGATTGAAGAAGTTGGGACTGTGCTCCTTGGAGAGAAGAAGGCTGAGAGGGAGATCTGTTAGAGGTTTTCAACATCATGAGCAGGGGCTGGACACAGTAAATAGGGAGAAGCTGTTCCCACATGTAAAAGGGACAAGAACGAGAGGGGAGTGGATTGAGAGTGATGTGTAAATGAAGCAAGGGTTATGTGAGTCATAGAGTCATAGATTCATACAGCACAGAAACGGAAAAACGTTCTCACCCATCGAGTAGTTAGGGTGTGGAATGCACTGCCTGGAAATGTGGGGGAGGCAGGTTCCATTGAGGCATTCAATGGATAGTTATTTGGATAGAAATGGGGGTGCAGGGATATGGGGAAAAGGCAGGAGATTGGAACTGGGTAATGCAGACATGATGGGCCGAATGATCTGACACTTAGGCCCTGAAGGGTTCATAATCAAAACCTTTGGTCAAAGAGGTAGATTTTGAAGAGCATCTGAAAGAAAGAAACACAGGCACAGGGACGGAGCAATTTAGCAAGGGATTGCTAGAATTTAGGGCCTTGGCAGCTGAAAACATGGCCGTCACCAGTTCTTTTGCACTGATGTGCTGGGCTCCCCCATTATTGAAGATAAGGATATTTGTGGAACCTTCTCTGTCCCACTTAGCATGGTGATAGTGCCACCCAACACAATGGATGATACCCTCAATGTAAAGACAGGGCCTCCTACCTGCAAGGACTGTGCGGTGGTCACTCCTACCTATACCATCGGGTGTCATCTACAACAGGTAGACTGATGAGAACAAAGTCTAGAAGAATCTTTCCCTCTTGCTGATTCCCTTGCCACCTATCACTGGTCCATATGCCCTGCAGGACATGGTTACAGCAGCCAGTCAAGATGCCACAAAGTCTCTCTTTTAATAATGGACATTGAAGCCTCCAGCCAGAGTCCATTTTGTGTCCTTGGCACCCTTGATGCTTTTCCAAGTGGTGTTCCCAGGCACAGAGTTCCGAAATTCCCCTCCCAAACCCTTCACCTTCATTCTTCAAGACAATACTTTAGCAGCTGCCTCACTGACCAGTCTTGAGATCACCTGTTCTCATATCTCCTTATGTAGCTCAATGTCAAATTGTATTTGTTAACGCCCCTGTGAAATGCCTCGGGATCTTTTCCCATGTTAAAGGCACTATGTCAATGCAAGTCATTATATATTGTAAAGAGGTTCACACAATCCAAACGCATCTCTGTCTACTTCAAACTGTCCTCTCGGTCGTCTGCTTCTGGCTTTTCAAGCCTCTCATTGAGGCCATTCAGGGAGCAGACCTGAGTCTGTGCCAGTGTAACAACCAATCAGGAAGCTGCGACATGACCCAGGCAGAGAGCACTAGTATGAGGCTGCAGTCACATGTAAATTTAAACAGAACAACCGACTCAGTGTGTACGGTCACAGAATGAGCGAGGGGAGGGAGAAAAGAAAGAGCGTTTGTCTGACCATCATTATCAATTTCGACTTGATCACACTCATCGTCTTCCGTTATTATTGGGCACGCAAAGAGTCCTCCAGTGCGATTGGCGAGCTGCTGTGACTGGGCACGGGCCTGAGGTGCCCCCACCAGAATCCTGTAAAGAAACAGCAAGAGAAACCGTTGTTGACCTGTGGCATTGCAGACTGGATGGCATTAGCAGTTTGATCACAGCTGCTGGCACTGCAACACAGGTCCGATCCCAAACCCGGCTTGACAAATCCTTTTTTGTTTTTGTTTTGTTACTTAACGTGTTGGTCAGTCACTACGACATACTCAGGCAATTTTCATGAACAACAAAACAGAATTTTGTTAAGCTAAAGAAAAAAAAATGAAAAACAAGCTATCAAAACATAGAAAACAGGAGCAGGAGTAGGCCATTCGGCCCCTCGAGCCTGAACCACCATTCAATATGATCATGGCTGACCATGCAATCTCAGTGTCCCTCTCCCCACTTTCCCTCCATACCCCTTGATCCCATTAGCCGCAAGAGGCACATCCAGCTCCCTCTTGAATATATCTAACGAACTGGCCCCAACAGCTTCCTGTGGGAGAGAATTCCACAGGTTCACAGCTCTCTGAGTGAAGAAATTCTTCCTCATCTCAGTCATCATCATCAAACCCCTACAATGTGGAAACAGGCCCTTCGGCCCAACAAGTCCACAATGACCCTCAAAGCATCCCACCCAGACCCATCCCCCTATAACCCACCTAATCTACACATCCCTGAACACTACAGGCAATTCAGCATGGCCAATCCACATGGAGTTTGCATATCTTTGGACTGTGGGAGGAAACCCACGCAGACATGGGGAGAATGTGCAAACTCCATACAGGCAGTTGCCCGAGGGTGGAATCGAACCCAGGACCCTGGCGCTGTGAGGCAGCAGTGCTAACCACTGAGCCACCGCGCTGCCCTGAATGGCTCACCCCTTATTCTTAGACTGTGACCCCTAGTTCTGGACTTCCCCAACATCGGGAACATTCTTCCCACATCTAGCCTGTCCAGTCCCATCAGGATTTTATACGTTTCTATGACACCACACCCCCCACCCAATTCTTCTAAATTCCAGCGAGTACAAGCCCGTTGACCCAGTCTACATCATATGTAAGTCTTGCCATCCCGGGAATCAGTCTGGTGAACCTTTGTTGGAATCCCAACCTCAAAATATGCAATAAAACAAAGCTTTAACTTATTTTCTGGCAATATTCATTACAGAGACTCAAGTCCACAGAAATTATGCCTCTGTCTCAAATCTTTCGGGACTTCTCTGTAACTGACTCCTTCCAGTTTGTTTGCAATGGGTACTTTTTCCAAATCTGCCAACATGAACTTTACACAGATTTGAGAGCTTAAACTTTCTATGTTCCAAATACTTGCAGATTTCCAACCAAACTCTCCTGGTTTGGAAGTTTCACAAACTAAACCTTCCTGCTGAGGGGATCTGTTCCCCAAACTGGCCTGAACTTATTCTAGGATAGAAACTAAACTTATTCTAGGATAGAAACTAAACTTGCTTCTAAGCTCAACACTGATGTCTTTTGGACGAAACTATTTTTTTTTAAATTGCTCAATCCTCGCACCTGCTGAACTGAAAACAAAGCTAACGACCTTAAATATTTACCGTACCATCTATAAATCCAACAGTATAAACATCTTCCCATTCACACCAGAAAGGTCTGTAATTATGTGCTCTCAGACAAAAACGCTAGATTTAGTCACCGATTCAGGAGGATTCTCTGACCTTTCGCTTGTTAAATAGAAAACCCTCCAAGTAAGAATCACCCATAAGCCTCTATTTCGAATCCACATTCGCAAAAATGATATTTATAGATTAAACTTATACATCTTTCATCATAGTTGCCTAGAAATAGAGACCATAGGGATATCTATACACTTTAACAGCATTGTGGACCGGTACTAGACTGTATAATACAGCCAGGGACCAGGGGCTATTGGAGTCTGGCACCTGACTCTTTCAAGCAACATGCTTCAGTCTGCTTGGGATCCATTTTCACGATATCGGCTTCATTATGGCGGTAGGTCAGGAACAGGCGAAGTGCTGCAGAGTTGACTTGGGCACTGGCTTTCCAGCCATCCCCAGGAAAAGCCACCCATTCCATCTCTTTTCTCATCCTCACCAGCTCCTCCCGACAATGACCGGATCAACGTCGGGAACTTGTCAGCCGTCATTCAACAGGTGGCACGCTCACCTTGGAATCAGAAGGCTGTTGGTTGCAAGTCCCGCTCCGAGGGTACAATTCAGACTGACACTCTCATCTCAGATGAGACATTACACCAAGCCCCCGTCTTGAGACGGAGGGATTTGCAATAAGACCCTTGTACACCAGTCACTGAAAGTAAGCATTGTAGGTGCAGCAGGCGGTGAAGAAGGTAAATGGTCTGTTGGCCTTCATAGTGAGAGGGTTCGAGTCCAGGAGCAGGGATGTCTTGCTGCAATTGTACAGGGTCTTGGTGAGACCACACCTGGAGTATTGTGGGCAGTTTTGGTCTCCTTACCAGAGGAAGGATGTTCTGGTGGTGGAGGGAGTGCAGCCTAGGTTTACCAGACCGATTCCTGGGATGGTAGGATGTATGAAGGGAGACTGCATTAGTTAGGGCTATATTCACTAGAGTTTAGAAGAATGAC